TTTCCCTAGAAATTCTGTATTTATTGAAGAAACAAAAGTTGAATTGATAGGGAAGAAAAAAGGTGGAAAAACAAGTTATTGGTGGGAATCAATTTTACAAACTTCATTTTGCTAAGAAAATATTTTCTTTTTATGAAAACAACGTTATTATGATTTAGGAAGATGCTACGGTTTCGTTACAGAATCATTCCGTCCGGGTTTGTAACCGTTAGATCAACTATCTATGACGGTTACATGATAATCTAACAGTTACAAATCCTGACGAAATGGTTCCGTAATGGAACCTAAGCATTTTCCTATAATTTATACACGTGAAAATTTGTTTAACAATATTATTATAAAGCAAAAATAAATGATATCTTGATCATATGGTAAAAAACTATATGTCACTTCTCATCAACCATGTATCAGTATGATTATTATTATTACAACAACAACAACATACCCAGTATATTCCCAACTGGTTGGGGATCAGTATGATTATTATTATTTAGACAAAATTAAACAAATCTTGTTTTTCATCAACCATGCAATACTTTCAAACTGAAATATATTACGCAAACAATATAAACAAAAAACGCAACATTTCATAACATAAATATGTACTTTTGTGAAAACATATGATAAGCCGAGGCCAACCCACCTCACAATTAGACCATCCTCACACTTTGTAACCATGAAACACGACCTCTATGGGGAAAGAAAACAATATGCTATTGGAATTAGCTAGCACAAAGTCAAATTATACAAACAATATAACAAGAACTCCTAAAGTTTAGTCTAATTACAACAAGGTAGCCCACTTAAACTTTTGAAATTACATAAATCCCCTCGCCATTTGTAATTACCATTACCATACACACCCCATTCTTGAAGACTAGGCTAAACCCCAGGTGCAGAAAGTGAGGCTAACTCGATCAATATTTTGTCAAAATCTCGGCACCTGTTCTTGTAATGAGAATCGTATGCTCAAACTGTGCGGCTGGGCTGCCATCGGCAGTTAGGGTCGTCCAGTTGTCTTCCCAAGTTATACAATCCGTGGTCCCGAGCGTGAGAATAGGTTCTGTAATATCACGTCAAGCAGATTATGTAACATTTTTAAATTTTGCTAGAAAATACATATATAAATGAAAAATGTCAATCTTACTACCATCTAGATTATATTTTTATCAATTCATTAAGTGGGGGAAAAAAGAAAGAAGAAAATATGCATCTCTAAGAAAATGCAATGCTCACCAATGGTGAACGTTTGTCCTTCAATCATGTGTCCAGACTTGTCGTTACCTATGAAAGAAATCAAAGTTATATTAACAAATAATAGAGCCTTTGAGAAAAAAAAAAATATAAAAAATTAAATAAATAAATAAAGATTTTGTTTGACATTTAGCGGGATGACGGATATCTAATTGATTGCATCGGTTGGTAAGTAAGTAATAGAGGATACCTATGTGACATGTAAAAGTAACTGATTTTACAATCCATTATTTAAAAAATTTCCCTCCTAAATTAAGCTTTTCCAAAAATTTGTTTTTTTCTGAATCCACAAGGCTAATTCAAACAACTCGACAAGGCTAATTCAAACAACTCGTACAGGTTGTGATGGGTCAAACCTCTATTACACCTTCAAGCCTCTAAGATACATTAAAATGTTGATTACGAAACGAGTCAAACACATTTAAAGAACTAAATAAATGAACTGTAAGAGTCTTGATTTCTGAATTTCGAAAGAGGAACCCAATATTATTAAAGAAAGCTATACATAATTTAGAGTTCCATTCCAGAGAGATCCATCCAAGATTTTAATTTGTAGAAACTAAAGAGAATAAAA